AGGATTGAGAGAGTAACTGTAAACTAAAGCTAGCTACGTACTGTTGTAGTCTTGCTCACTTTATATTTGAGATAATATGAGAATTTAACTCGACTAAATAATTTATAATTTTTATTTTTTTTACTCAGTTAATTTCATATGTACATTAATTACTACACATTTTAGTTTAATATGGTATACAACATACATTTATAAAAATTATTATTTTTTAATTTAAAATTAAAGATAGATAAATAAACTTAATTGAAGATATAACCATATATAAGATGTAAAAATTGATTAAATTAAATTATTTTTATATTATATTTTAATAATAAAACTAAATAAATATTAAAAAATATATATTAAATTGAGTGTACCAATAATTATTCATTTAATATAAATATTTACAAATATTTTATATTACATTACTTGCGGATGCGCGGCATTAATTTCTGTCCAGTAGACAAACCTAATATCAGGAGATGGTGCAGATGCTACAAGACAAATAACATTTGGCAAAACCTAAGCTGCCAAATTTACTAAATTTTTATTCAAGTAAATGAACTCTTAAACTTGATAATTTAGATAGTTTAACCTTTTTTTTTATTATAGACTTAATGCTCTTATGTTTCTCATTTGTGTGGATAAGATATTGATATATCATTATTTATATAATAAGCAATGATTTTATCCATATAAGTAAGGTACAAATAAGCATTAAGTTCATCTTAAAGAAAGAGTGTTAAATTTACTAGATTACTAAGTTTAGAAATTTATTTATTAATTTCAATAAAAATCTAAAAACTTAATCAAAAATTTAAGATAAGTTAGGAACTTAACCGTAGGGTTTGCACGTAACATTTTATCATTTTAAAGTATAAGAAAATTTATAGTATATATATATATATTTGGATAAAAAACGATATACATATTAAAGAAGTGCATCCCTTTCTAAATGACAGAGACATGACCTCTAATAGATAGCCTTATATATCCCAACTATTATTGTTATTGATAATGATGTTATATATAAGATGTGATGTTCCCTTGAAAAACCCTCTCTCAAATATCCACATATATATTTTGTTGACAGTGATTGATATATGTTCTGATTCAACATATTGTATGACATATTTATTAAAAAATTATTATTTTTTAGTCTGAAATTAAAGATAGACAAATTTAATGATACAATCATGCATACAGGATACAAGAACCAATTAAATTAACTGTATTTATATTATATTTTTAATAATTAAACTGAAAGTGTGTCAAAAAATATGTTGAATTAAGGTGTACCAATCATTTTCTTATTTTTTTAATCAACAAATAAATTTTAAGTACTTAACATTGAAGTATTTGAATAATAAGTTATATATATAGGCAAACAATAATTGAATGAGTTTGAAAGATGTGAATGTAGGGTAGAGAAAATTCAAAGATAAAATCTTGGTTAGGTGTTTGTTCTTTGATTGGGAAACTTCTTGGAAGTTCAAAACACGTGAATCACCTCCATTGTATTTCTCTTCATTTTTGGTAAGAGTGCAAGTATTATAATTAATGGGCTCCACTTCTGAATCTTGAACCTGTAATATAGAGCCAAAAATGGAAGAAAACAATTAATAACCCAGAAGGGTGATCACCAAAATCTATGGCCTTTTTGTTATCTCAACCGCTCTGCATTATTGGTATGTGAACTAGACTTTATTTCTATGGGACCAGTGACAGTTTTTCCGGCCATCCCTTGCTTCCTTATTATATTAAAATTTTGATAGAGTAGAGAAGTAAAACGAGCATCCTTACGAACCAATTCTTCGGGTCTATTGGTTCATTATTTAAGCTTAAGAGCCTGGATTTAAATAGGTTGAAAGTTATACTCCTATCTATTTATAGAAAAAGAATTCTCTTTCCCCCAAATTCCTCCATATTCAACCAAAAAAAAAAAAAAAAAAAAAAAAAAAAAAACCAAACAAACAAACAAACGAGCACCCTTCTACAATAAAGAAAGAGACACTTGTTTTGAATTATTAAAAATAGATATTAGTTGTTGATTTTAATTAAATAAATTTGATATTTTAAATTAATAATTATGAATTGTCAAATATAAATTATCAGTTATTAATTGTCTTGAAAAAATTAATTCAAACAGTTTAAAAGTTTTTGACATAAATCATATTGTAGCCAAACTTGTACAAAATGTATGCTTTCCCCATCTTTTGGCACAAACAATATTTAAGGATATGTTTGGTTTAAGGACAACATTTTTAGAAAAAATTTTCTTGTGAAACTTAGGAAGCGTCACTACTAAAATTCCAACTTTCAACAACATGCTCCCATGTTGCTGAAAGTGCTTGCATTGTCGCTGAAAATGCTTGCAATGTAGGTAAAAGCCTTTTAGCAACATAGCTTTCGTTGCTGAAAGCTTTGTTAGAAAAGGCTTGGTGGCTAATACATTAGCAACAAAGGGTATGTTGCTGATGTATCAGCAACATACCCCTTGTTGCTAAAAGAACACTTTTACCAACGTGATTTATGTTGGTAATATTTTTGCCAGATTCCAGTGACCGGTGGTGGAGATTATTCAACCATTTTCAGCAATAAAAGCCACGTTGCTGAAACTATATTTTTAGCAACGTGGCTCATGTTGCTGAAAGTTTAAGAGAAATAGTGGTTTTCAGAAGGTGGTTTTCCTTTGTATTTTTAGCAACAAGAGTTACGTTGTTGAAAGTTCAGGAATAGTACATTTCCTAGTTTTCAGCAACGTATGTCTTATTGCTAATATTTATTTGCATACTTCCCTGATATTAATTAACTACTTAATAAATCCTTGATATTAATTAACTACTTAATAAATTTTAGTTTAATTAATGTAAATTAAATAACATCAATTAATTAATGTCTTATTATGTATTTTACCAAACTTGAACTTTATTTTATTAATTTATTTTATTAAGAATTATATACAAAACAAATAAAATAACAAATTATTAATTACTAAAGATAATTA